GCCAGACAAACACAGAATATCTCCAAAGATCACCCAGGGTGGGGGGGGGCAGGGTTGGGAACCAGCTAAGGGCAGGATTTTTCAAAAGCCTTCAACTTCAAATTAATTCTGCCGCTGCTGAAGTTAAAAACAAAGGCGTCTCGGATCTGAGGACACTCGGAAATCCCTCCCCGGCTACGAGGACGCAGCCTGAGTGCTAAGCCAGACAGAGGGGTGCGTGTAAGATGGGGGCAGTGGTGCCCCCCACCAGCGTGGCCAAGGCTGCAGGAGCTTTGGTGGTGCTAGGGGGAAGGCTGGGGATGAGAGCAGCGCTGCTCAGATCAACCTGCCGTGCAGCAGGCCTGCTTGAGCTAATTTAATAACCTAGCAGAAAGGCAATCCTGTGCCCGGCTAAAGAGATTTCAAGTGCCAGGAAGGTACCAGAAAAGAGCCAGGAGAGGCTGATTTTTAAAAATCAGCTGCTGCTGCTGCAGTGTTTTCCCATTATCAAATCAGAAGCAGCTGATGACATTTCTCCATAGTTGGACTTAGTTAATATTTTGTTGGCTAGACGATGCATGTTGCAGAGCCCTGTGAGCCTGCTCACGTCTGCTGTGGTACAATTACAGTACATAGGTGCAGAGATGAGAAAAATAACCTTCAGGCTGTAAGGAACTATTTTTAGCGTGAAGCTATAGCTACACTTTGGGAGAAGACGTATAAATGAGAGTAACCCTGGCAGTTGGTTGATGAGAACGATGCTGGTCAGTAGATTTCTTCTGGTACTCCGGTTTAATGGTGATGAGCACAGAATTGGACCTCGGGTACCATTTGGGTGCCTCGGGAAGGATTGCTGGAAATGAATAAATATAGCTTTATAGGTCACCTTCTAAGCTTGCTTTCCTGCAGTTTTGAGCCCCGCCGTTCAGTCGTTCTGACTGAAAAGGGAGACCGCGCTTAGAGCCACAGTTAACAGTGGGCTTTCCATGAATGGAGAGTTAAACTCCAAATATGAGGAAAAAATACCTATGTTCCCATGTGCTTTTCTTACTCATCAGGCAGCAAACAGATACTTTGCTGCATTTCTAGACACGCTGCTTGTATCGTGACTGAAGTCCCAACGCTGCTTTCCTTGCTGGTGGATTCACCGTACATCGGTTCCTCCGGTGCTGCTCCCAGACTTGAGGCTTTCCCGTCGCTTGTGCAGCGAGCAGACAGCCCTCAGAAAGACCCCAGGTGTAGGGAGCAGAGCGGCTTGCCCTGTGTGGTCTCCCTTTTCAAGTCAGAAAATGGCTCCGTGCATATCCCGATGCAGGAACTGGGGTAGCTATCTCTAGATCAAATGCTTATTTCCACTCTGCAGCGGCAGGCTGCCTTAGGTGACACTATGTTGACTGCAACGTTTTGCAGTCCAGGTGTAATGGTGTTGGAGAAGGCAGGAGAGGCCGTGCATACGCCGCGCTTAGAGCCACAGTTAACAGTGGGCTTTCCGTGAATGGAGAGTTAAACTCCAAATATGATGAAAAAATACCTATGTTCCCATGTGCTTTTCTTACTCATCAGGCAGCAAAAATTGATAGGAAATTCTACTAAATACTTAATTTTTAATGTGATACAATATAGTAAATAACTACATTGTTTTGCTTTGAGATACAACCTTTTTTTAAAATAAAAAATCAAGTTGTGTTGGTTTTCAAAGAGTCTAAAATCTAGATTTTAAGTATGAGAAAGCTTGAAGGTGAGCAGTGCAATTGCACTGGTGTATGCTCTCGGTGGCTTCACCAGCTCCCTTTGTCATGTTTCTGGCACAGCTGTTGTCACTGCTAATGAAGAAAAAGGCAGAGATGTAGGAAGAGAGTGAAAGAACACTAGGAAAAAGCACCACCACCCACAAAAAAGCTCAGATAACAACTCAGGCTCACATTGCTGAGGAGAAAGGAGCAGTCAAAGATCGTAAGAGTACAAAGAAAGAATAAGGCTAGAAGGGCATCCCGGGAAGGACGTGTTGAAATAACCTGGGTGAGTAAGAAAATCAGATGCCTAGAGCGATCAGAAAGAAATTCTGGTGTCTTGGTTGAATTTCTTTTGCTACAAAATACTTGCTGAAACGCGTGAGTTCTTCATATACTGTCGTCTCTATTTACCTGGGTGCACTTCAGAAGAATCTGTCCTTTTCCGACAATGATTTTGATCTTGTATTCAATACGCTCCCTCACCATCCTTTAGAAAGGGTAACCTGAGCCTTTGGGGATAAACAGCTGATCAGAGCACGCCTGCCAGCTGGTTTGGTTCATCTTCCCAGGTCGTCTTTCTACCTCTTCCATAGAAGAGTTAGACGTCTTTACGCTTTTATCCCTGCGCCACGCACAGCGGCACACGGGGCTTTGCTGCTGCTCTCAAATTGTATCTTAGCCCAATAGTTAAGGGGGAAAAACCCCAAAACCCTGTTTCAAAGCATCGGCAGGTTTCTAAGTGTTTGTTCTTTCTTTGCTTTCGAACATGACTCTCTCAGGAAAATCAGAGGGCAGACTGGTCATGAGAGAAAAGCTTCCCGTGAGCCTGGCGAAGGTTGTTTTGATGAGTCTTGCTTTGGTGGCCTGGCAGAGGGGGTGATTTTGAGTCTCTTAGAGGTGCTTGGGGGGAAAACCCCCAACACGCTGCCTAGAAAAGGAGGGCTGGGGAAGCAGCATCCTCCTCTGCCACTGGGCATCTCGCCTTTCTTCTCCTTCTGACAGCAGCCTTGCCCCCACTTGGGTGCGTGTCCGCAGCAGCCGATGCTGTACTCATTTAGGGAGGACGCTTAAGTGCTTTGTCACCCCACAGGCGATCCCTGGCTCAGCGAAGTCTTGTTGCAGAGCAGCTCTCCATTAACGAGCACCAGGTTTCCTGGGCAGGTTTTGCTGAGCGCGTCCCTAAAACTCGTGCGTCCGAGCGTTTTGTCATTTGCTTGTTCTTCCAAGGGATACATTATCAAGTGGTGAACAATTGGCAGCATCAATTTGAAGTTACAAATATTCTGTGGGGGAATTACCATACGCCTTATTTTTTCTTGTGCGTTTAAGGTAGTCTAGTTCATAAGTATTAAACCCATCAGTCAGTGTGTGCTTTGGGGCTTCTGAGAGCTTGTGGAGCCAGACTGCGTTGTGAGCTGCTGTGGATTTTAGGCAGCTTTGCTGAAGTGGATTTCTTTGCCACTGATTTTTCAACAGATCAGGCAGGGTGGTGTATATGTATGTACGCCAGACGTTAGCGGTTCATTTACTGCAACTTCTCTGTGAGGTTCTTAAAATTTCTGTGATAGAAAGGTATTATGGCATAGAGGACAGAGTTGGGATCAAGTTAGGAGTTGCTGTGGCAGGGTGAAACATCGGCTGCAGTAACTTGATTATAAAGCAATGGATGTTTAATTGATGGTGGAAACATGAGAGGTCTTTTAGCTACACAGTGACTAGCAACCTGGTTATCTGCCTTTCGGTGGTGTGGTTTTACATGTATTTCAGTTATGTGGCTGGGGTGGAGGCGGGAGTTTCTGTCTGCTATCAGAGTAAAGGATGAAGACAGGCAATTACTGCTACCTGCCTGCTTATTGATCCTTTTTTAAAAAGTGCCCTTACCCTCAACTTCCGCATGCATAGTTGTGTTGCTGTTGTCCGAATTGCGGAAATTCATTAAGGGTAGATACGATTGTACTTCAAAGAAATAGTTGGGTGACAGAGAGAGATACGCACACACACCCCCCCCACGCCCCCCTCTTGCTTGGTATTCATACCTGGGCTAGCAGAGTGCTAGGAGCCTCGTCAGCAACAGTTAACACAGAGCCCCCACCATGAGCGTCTGGAGGGGGTTCCCTGTGCCACCCAACCCTTCCTGGCTCAGGACCCACGCAGAGGCCGGGTGTGCCGCTCACAACCACCCTCTTCCTCATCTCCCCCAACTCCCACCTTGGCTTCTCCGTCCAGGCTTGGTGCTTTTATTTTTCTCAGAAACCCTCCCTGATTTCTCTCTTCTTCATGGATGCCCCTTCTCACTTCACTTCTTCCCAAGGCTTTTTCTCTTCCTTCAGATCTCTGGGAGGTGAGGGATGTAGTAGCCACCCAGCATCATTCTGTAGAAGGATTGAGAAGGGGGTTTTTCCTGGACGGAAGGTCTCTAATGATGGCACATATTTCTCTGTCCCCCTTTGGCCATGCCCCGCTCTGTCCTCTCAGGCCAGCAGCCTGCGGGAGGGCTGAGGGCTCGGGCGGTGATGGTGGGAAGCAGCAACGAGCCAGTCTCTCACCTAGACAGTTATTGAGACCATTAGTGTAGTTTCAAAACCAGCACGCCTGCTGCTTTTGCCCAGTGACTCCTCGTGTGCTGGCCTGCACAGGCAATGGGAACAACAGCTTTGGGCAACCTCAAGCAAATTTTAGATTAAGGCAAAAGCCACAGGCGTAGTAAACGTGCTCCTGACAGCCTGCGCTAAGTTTAGTCTTTCACTTGGAACTTGAAAAGACATGTGTACAGCGAAATGCAGGTGCCCAGCTCCTGGTGTCCGTCCTTCAGGGTTAGTTTTCCTCAGGTCAGTCATTTCTGTAGCCGCGACCGCAGATCGTGGAGTTGCACTTCCACTCGTAAAAAGTGCCTGCCCTTCCCCGTCGTGCGGATGGCCAGGCAGCGAGGTGGTGCAGTGCTGCTTCCTGAAACCCTGCCCGGACCTACTCATCTTCCTCGGTGCTGCGCACCTTTTTCTCCCCAAAATAATACCTTCTCAGGTCTGTAAACAGAAACAGCAGCTCCAAGAGACAGAATTTTCTCAGCATTGCCTTGGCTCCAACGCCAGTATCAGCATTGTTCTTCTGGGGCTGATCTTCTTAGCATTTGTGTCTCGGTAGACTCTGTGGGGATGATGCATGTTGGCCAAAGATTTATTCTGACCAAGGAGGAAATGTGGGTGAAAACTGGGTAAATTTTATTGCACGTTCCTGTTTGCATGCCTAACAAGACTTAATTTTCTTTTCCTTCCTCTTTCACTGATGCAGCTGAAGAATAAATTCATGAAGAAATTGCCCCGTGATGCTGAGGCCTCCAACGTGCTGGTGGGGGAGGTAGACTTCCTGGAGAGTCCTTTCATTGCCTTCGTCCGGCTGCAGCAGGCGGTCATGTTGGGTGCTCTGACTGAAGTCCCCGTACCTACCCGGTAAGAAAATTGAGCCCCCAAGCGGGGGACAAGAATTGGAAACTGCATTTCAACCTCTTAAAATAAAAACACCGGGCCGGAAGAAGACATTCTCTGTGGCTTTCCATCATGCAATGTGTGTAACGGTCAGGATTATTGGTTTAAAGTAACAAAACTCACTGTAGCTGCTTAATAATTTTCAGGTCCTGAATTTGGTTATAAACTGTAAAATACACAAACATTACACAAACACACTAACTTAGCAACTTAGCAGTGAAGAGCGCTATCAACATGAAATTTAACTGCCGGGGCTTTTTTCCTGGCCCTTATGATTCCCCCCAACACACACTGTACGTAGCTCAGATTCCCTCTGCATGTTTTTGCAGTACATATTTTTCCTCTTAAAAACTGACATTAGATGAAGGATACAAATCTGGCCCTGCTGGGGCGGGAAAAAAAAAAAATAGTCTGGTAAACTGGGGCATACAGTTCTGTCAGGGGTGGTCATGCTGTATGTTGCTTTGTAATGCATAATGGTTCAGAGAAAAATGTCATAGAAATATTTTATTTATTGTGACTCACGTTGCAAATTAATCTGAGTCTCAGAAATATGAATATATCTTACGTTCTTAAATATTTGAATTCACTGCTTGGATACGCGTAACTGTCTGCGCAGTGAGTGTATGTATCTACCAGAATAGCAAAGCTAAATTCCTCTTTGAATTCTTGAATAGCAGTATTACCCTTGGTTATACAATTGCGTATTGTTTATCATGTAACAGAGTAGGGAAAATTATCAGTATAGATGTCCAGAACACCTGCTCTATGTGAGCATTATGTAGCAGTATATCTTTGCTTTATATATACACAAGCGCCTCACCGAGGTAAGAACTGTAAAAATTATTAGTGTTAAAAGGTAAGGAAGCGCACTGAGAACGGAGCGCAGCAGAGTTGCGGTGAGAAGGACAAGAGGGGCTGCGGGCGGACAGCCTGCCCCTGGTTTGCGGTATCCCCGTTCAGCTCCGCGCCGGTCCCTGCGGCGCCTTGTTCCCCCAGCGCTGCTGCGCGCCTGGGCTCTGGCGCGCTTTTGGTATCGGCTTACAGAGGGTTTACTTTGCATTTCGCTTGTAATTACGGCGTTCAGGTTGCACCTTTCGCATCACTAATGTGCAAATACGTGTTTTATGTCAACGGTTTCAGGGGCTTTCAATACAGAGTGAAAGTTGTGATTTGAATAATACCTAGAGGGTTTGAGGCTATATAAAGTAATATTTTTTAAGAAGAGAGACAGTATCACGACAAAAGCCCGTGGCTAGTGCATTACTAATAGTGGAATGAATCACAGCCATTGTATGGAATGCAAGTTGTATGGCTGTTATAATCTGTACCTTATTTCCATGTACAAAACAAAGGAAAAAGATGATCTAGTTTTGCTATTTGTTTAATTGCCGTCTAGTAATGCAGCAGTGTTGGTATTTCTTGGCGTTTCATTATGTGGCTCCTATGTTGGCACGCACTGGGTATTCTGGTAGGAGTATGGGGATATAAAAGCGGCTTAATTTTATAAAAGGTTATTCTTCGTTCCTCAGCATTACCGAGCTCGGTATACTTCAGTATTTCAGCTTCGAAGTCTAGTCCCGCTTACTCTTTTTTTTAAAGACATCTCCGAATGCTTTTCAGCAGATGTAAAATTAGGCATTGTTTGTTTTGGTAGTGGGAGCCAGGAAGTTAGATCTAGGATTGCCGAACGACCTCATTACTCAATAGCATTAATCGAGACAACATGTCCTTCCATGCCAACATTTTTTCCAGGAAATAGTATTATCCATTTGCTGTCCTGCAAACCAAATGCTAGCCCTAATCAAAGCAGTGAGGCTCGTTAGATGGCTTTCTTGAGTGATGAAGAGCCATTCGCAATGGCTGCATCCTGTGAAATTCAATCAAGGAAATCCCATCAGGGCCCAGACGAGCTATGATGGAGCGTCTCCTCGGTCAGCGCTGAGTCTCGGCCATCTCGCACGACGGGCGTTCCTGTTGTGGACGTGCAGTTAGCAGCCCGCAGACTCGGCAAGATGCTGGAGCTGGAGCCTTTGGCGTGCCCCCCCCTTCTCTCCCTGTGGGCTTCTCCTTCTGTTTTGTTAAATTATCAACTTCCTGGTAAAATTGTCAAAACCATGCCATCAAAGCTAGGCAGCGCAAAACCACCTGGGGTTTCTAAATAAACATGAGCTAACGTTTCAGCGCTGTGGGTTGCTGCAGGAGTATGGTGACCCAGGTCAACCGAGTAACCGCAGCGTGACCTGCATCGGTCTCTCTCTTCAGAAAGCAGCAGGGTGGTTTTTTTGTGGGGCAGGCGGGGGGTTAAACACCCAGGTTTCGGCACAGACCTGTGGGCGTGCTGGTCTGTAAGGCAGAGGGGAGGTGGCCTTCGCATGGCCGTCTGTTCCCGTGGTGACATACACTGCTGGAGGTGCCTTTGCACAGCAGTCCAGTTCGTGTTTCTGCTGTGCTGTGTTAGGTAAAAATTTCATGCTCTCTAGCAAGTACAGATAGACCGAATACGTCCCGGGAGCCAGCGAAGTGCCTTGCTCTAAAGAGGTGATGGTCGCAGGGCTTGTTGGTTCGGTGGCAGAGGGATGGGGAAAGCCCTCCCGAGGAGCTGGAAGAAGGGGAGAAGGGAGAAAGCGTTCCCAGCCATAACAAGGTGTCACACAGCTTGCAGAAATGCACGAAGCCATCTTGATGTTTTGCTTTTCAAAGCACTAACCAGGCAGGGTCTGCAGGGAGAGGGCAACGATAGCCTTCATGAGACTAGCTGAGAATCAGTGTATCGGCTGCATCGGTTAGCTGGACGTGTAAGACATCGCCACAATCTTGTGATGTAGAAGCAAATATGACACCAAGCCCTGCAGAGGTGAAAGGCTCAGGATATCTGCAGTCCCTGCCCTGTTTTGGTTTATTCATGTTGACCGAGTACTGTAGAAAGGGAAAGGATTATTGTGTGCATAAGGTAGACAGTATTCAACATGCAGACTTCCAGTTGAATGGGTTACTTATTTCTGCTGATTTTTTTTTTTCTTCCTCCACACATTCTTTGGCTTAGATTTTTCTTGTAAGTTACAGAATTTTGGATGCTTTGTAGAAATAAGATTTCCTGTGTAGAAATGACTCTTCCTTGGATACATAAATTTTCTATATATTTTTTCCTTCACGCTTCCTTGCTAAGTATTTTAAGTATTTCCTTTACCTAAAAGTAAATTTTTGCTTAGAAGAAACCAGCAAGATCTGATGAACTCTCCAGGAAAAGTTTCTCAGCAGGGTGTTTTCATACAGCCCTAGTAATCAAAATCGGGGATCTGAAATTGATACAGAGAGATGCCAGCCTTTCACTGTGTTGAGTTTTCTTTTTACCGATCAGATTGAAAAAACCTTTAAGGACTTGGGTTTTCTCATGTTGAATTCAATTCCACAGTGCTATGAACTCCTCATTTTGGCAAGCACTTAGCTACTGTGCTTGCACCGTGGCTTGGGTATGGCTTCTTCTCCTCTGGACAACGCAATAGAGGCGGCTTTTCATTTTCATCAAAGAAATGTGCAATTATGTGTTCAGGTCTGCTGCATTAATGTAACATTGATGGGGAGAAAAGATGAAGAATGAGCAAGGGAAAGATTTTTTTGGAGATAAGCCGTACAGACTTGCACAGTCTAATATGTAGTGCTGGGAAATTGCCTGTGTCTACAAGTCTCGAATGAGATGAAGTAACTTGCCCAAAGGTCACTTAGGAAGCATGTGGCAGAACCAGGAGTCAGATTCTCCTCCCTTGCCTCCTAACTTAAGCTTCTAACTGCAAAGGCATCTTTTCTTCTTCATAGGTGAGGATGAAGTGTGCGCCTTGTTCATTAATTACAGCATTGAAATGGTTTTCAGGGCTGTGGCCTTTAGCAGCCTTTCCAGCAGAAGGACTTGCTCTGGGAAATCGGAGCTCTGGCAGCAAAGGACTACCTTTGTCTGTCTGCATTCCTGTGTTGGACACCATGTGAGAAGCCTGCGATGTCGGTACGGTGGTACGCCCAGAACTTGAAGGATCACCTGTGTGAAATAGAAGACGGACCAAACACTTCGCCATCTCCTTTCATTACTGCAGTCTCAAGTTGTGCTCCTTTCATCGGCAGTCCAAGCCACGGATTCTGGTGGAAAAGTACATCAAGAGGTTGTTCTTTCAGCCCTCGAGTCCATCAACTTGTATCTCTATTGGGAATGCTGGATGCCTTGCAGGCATCTCACATGGTGTCCTACAACAGAAGGACTGCTTCCCCCCACCCCTCTCAAAAATCAAAACATTTTCTCCAGGACCTTACTGAGTTTCCTTTGCGTAGGTGCCTTTAACCCTTACGGAGTTGCTGCTCTTGCTTGCTCCAGATTTGAGAGATAGGCATGGATGAGCAAGTGGAACTTGAATCTTGTTTTAGTTGCTCTTCCTCTTTTTTTTTTTTTCCCCCTTTAAATTTTTTTTTTTTTTAATTATTATTTTATTTCGGGGGCAGGGGGACGGGATGGGATACGGGACGACCTTGTCTCCTGCACTGATGGTCAGCTTGCAAAGAGACCATGGTAAGGCTTGGTCCTGGGACAGTTATACCACAACCCTTACCTCGTATGGGAACTTCATAGTCACAGACATTACGTATTTCTTGCAGGGTGTCCCAAATGGATGGCAAAATGTTAGTGCTGCACTGACTTTGGAGCCTGTCTGTGTTGTATTCACTCCCCACCTCCTAAGTGTGCTCTTCGCCATGTGATTTCATGGAGATTTCTAGCCAAATTTCTCAGAAGCGCAGCATGTAAAGCCTTGTTGCCTCCTTGGGTAACCTAGACTGAAGTTCTGCCCCGCAGCCTCCAGCGTCACCTCCCACCAAGGTCCAGGAGGGTTGTGTTCACTCATGGCAGGTTGTTAGGTCCATAACCCTAGGTTACTGGGCTTGTACGCAGTATTGCTGTGGTGCTACGTTTAGATCTTCTAGGTGCATTGGCTGGGTTTACAATGCGTTGGCCAGGGCATGTTGTCCAGGTCCAATTGGAATTGCTCATCTGTGAGAATGAATTTATTCTTACTGGGTTTGGTGCATAGTCCGTATGATTAAAAGGTGAATCGTACATAGTCGGTGGTCATCATCTGCTTAAGAAGGGTAAAGCGTGCAAAAACGATAGGAGGAATAGTGCTTTAGGTAAAACAGAATAATAATTTACTGAGTTTCTGGCTCGTTATCAGCTTGGAAGCAAAGGATTTGGAGTGCTTTGACTGTGCTGTCATACAAAGTTCAAGACCAGGTATCCTGGGAGTGAGGGCTGTCAGCCCTGACTGTAAGCTGTTGCCCAGAGCATTCAGGAGAAACGTTGACTTTTGTTACTGCTTCAGAGAGACTTTGGGCTAAGTGATTCGAGGTGAAACCTCACATTCCCTGTGTTGAAGCATCTTTAGCAGTGTTAAGTATCAGAAATGGACATTTGATAACCCAGCGTGTGTTGTGTGCAGCAGAGAGGAATTCTGTGCTGCTTTCTTCTTAGCAGATGAAGAGGGAGGAGTATCTCACAACTCAAAGTGAGGGCTTTCTGAGGTGGAAGTATTCATAACTAAATGATATTAAATGCATGCAAACATAATCTAGTCCGAACCACTAAAATGCATTAGTGTTTGTGTGTTTATAGTATCTGGCCCTTTAAAAGGTCTTGTTCTACACGCCGAAGGCAATTCTGAGCTGAATCAGTCAGGACAAAGTATTTAGAAAGTGTCACAAACTGCTCATTTTCAAGAACATTTTAGTAAATGCAAGAGCGTTCAGGTACTTCTGTTACACATTGGAAGAGAGCCAGCTGATGTAATTATTTCAGAAGATGGTTATGAAAATGTCTCGTTCCCTTGGAGAATCAGGAGAATGCCGA